AGAGAGAGAGAGAGAGAGAGCAGCAGAGAGGCAAAGAGAGAGGGAAAGAGAGAATCCCAAGCAGGCTCTACCCTGTCAGCTCAGAGCCTGACTTGGGGCTCAATCCCACAAACTGTGAGGTCATGACCTGAGCCGAAATCAAGAGTCCGAAGCTTAATAACCAACTGAGCCAGTCAGGCACCCCTCTTTTTTTTTAAGATTTTATTTTTAAGTAATTTCTACACCCAAGATGGGACTCGAACTCACAACCCTAAGATCAAGAATCCCCCACTCCACCTACTGAGCCAGCCAGGTGCCCCTGGAGGTGTTTTCTTTTCTTTTTTTTTTTTTTTTCTCCTTTCCTTTCCTTTCCTTTCCTTTCCTTTCCTTTCTTTCTTAAGCTTATTTCTTTCTTTTGAGATCTTTCTTTCTTTCTTTCTTTCTTTCTTTCTGAAGTTTATTTATTTTGAGAGACAGAGACAGTGTGAGTGGGGGAGGGGTAGAGAGAGAGGGAGAGAGTGAGAGAGAATCCCAAGCAGGCTCCACACTGTCAGCACAGCGCGTGATGCGGGCCTCAAGCTCAAACTCATGAAACCATGAGATCAGGACCTGAGCGGAAATCAAGAGTGGGACACTTTACTGACTTCGCCACCCAAGCGCCCCTGGAGGCATCTTCTAAAGATGGAACTCCTGATGCCGCCAGGAGCATGTGGGGAGGGCACAGGACTGGAGAGACCACAGGCTGTCCTGAAGGTGTCCCACGGAGGGGTGCGCTCCCTGCTGGACAGGGGTCCCCTGCCTACTTGGCCCCAGCCTGCCCTCTGCAACCCTGCGGGATAAGCTCCCAGTTGAGGAGAAAGGCCTGCCCCCATCCCTGCCCGGGAGCACCTTCCGTCTCCTGGTCGGAGTCTGAATCAACTTCCGAACGCTGTTCGGCCTCTGGAGCTCCTGCAAGATGCCCAGCGGCGGCCGCCGCCGCCGCCTCCTCCTCCTCGCCTTCATTCTCCCCAGGCCTCTTGTAGGGACCCCTCATAGTTACGCCCATTTCTCAGTGTCAGCAGTGAGGCGGAGACTGCACCGCACAGCAACTCGAGCCCTTCCCCGGGGATGTGGGCGGACCCTCCGTCTGCGCCGATCAATTGGCTATGCCGTGCAGCGAACAGGCGTCCGCTGCAGCCAATAGGAACGCTCCTCTCCCGACAGCCGTCGTCTGGGCAACCCAGGGGTTGTGGGTTGCTATAGAAACCGTCGCTGGACTGGGTAGACCTTTAGCCTGCTGACAAGCTGAGCGGATGAGAGCGTGCTCCACGGTTTCAGCATCGGTCCCCCTTCCCCGCCTTCCACGGACTGGGGAACGTGGCTGACTCCAGAGTCTGTGCCTTAGTCCCTGCGCTCTGCGGGCGCACGGCACGAGAAAGCCTGGGGAGCCTTGCAAAGCCCCATCACCCTCCTCTCTGGAGCCAGAGTCACGCTCTCACCGTATGGCTGCCAGTTCTCTCTCATGCTCTGGCGTCTCATATGCTATTTCCTCCACCAGGAACATTCCTCTCCAAGTTTCCTTGTTGAACTTCAGAATCTGCAAGCGTCACTTCAGAGATCACTTTTTTCCTGAAGTTTTTCTTCCTTTCTTTTTTTCTTTTATTAATTGTTTTGACGTTTACTTATTTTGGAGAGACAGAGAGAGACAGCGTGAGCAGGGGAGGGGCAGAGAAGGAGGGAGACACAGAATCTGAAGCAGGTTCCAGGCTCTGAGCTGTCAGCACAGAGCCCGACGCGGGGCTTGAACTCACAAACCGCAAGATCATGACCTGAGCCCAAGCCGGACGCTTAACCGGCTAAGCCACCCAGGCGCCCCTTTCCTGAGGTTTTTCTTGACCCCTCCTCTGGGCTCCTGCAGTCCTCATGCTGCCCTCTCACAGTACCTATGACACTTGTCATTTCCTCCTCCTTCCCTCCCCCAAGGAAGTGAGGCCAGAGGGCAGGTTGCAGGGACTGCTCCTCTCTGCCTGGCCCTGGGCCCCTGCAGAGGGAGAGGGTGGCAGGCCCTGGGCAGCTGGTGGTTGGGACTAAACCCAGGGCTGAGGGGTGGAGGCTGGAACCTGTCCCAGTGGAAGTGTCCCTTTAATAGCTGCTGGCCCGCCGGCTTGGACGCCTGCTTTACCTCCTATTCAGCTGTGGCTGCAGCTGCTGTGCTGACTCATGTGCCCCAGCAGACAGCAGGAGCTGGAAGCATGGGCTCCCCGGGGGCCCTGGCGGGCTGGGGGCTTCTGGATTACAAAACGGAGAAGTATGTGATAACCAGGAACTGGCGGGTGGGCGCCCTGCAGAGGTTGCTGCAGCTCGGGGTCATGGCCTACGTGGTGGGGTAAGAGAATGGCTCCTGGGCCACACTGGCTGGAGGGATAATGACTCTTAGTCCTGGGCTGAGGGTTGAGGGTTTGACTCTTCAGGGGCTGAGCTGGTGGTAGCAGAGGGGAGCAGGTGGGAACAGGGGAGCAAGTAGGCAGAAGGGAGGATCTTTGTCTGTCTGGAGGTCAGTGGATACAAGAGCAAGCTGTATGCTTGTGTACTCCTTCCTGTGTGTCCACCTGCCTCCTCTCCTGTGCCTTGTTGCCAGGCCCATATTGAGCTCTGCACACAGAGCAAGATGGGCCCCCGCCCGTACCCAGGAGGCCCCTGGTGGGGTAGGAAGTAGCTCCTGATGTTTGGGAGAGCTGCAGCACTAAGGTCCCCGATAGAGACCACCAATTTTAGCTGGGTCGGGGGAGTCTTTAAGGAGGAGTTGGGCCTAGCCAGGACAGGAGGAGGGTGTTGGCTGGTGAAGGAGGAGGTGATGGGCCTCTCCAAGCCCATGGGTGCCATGAAAGACTGGCTCTCTGATCATGGTTGGAGCTTCTGATCTGTGCAGGGTGTTTGGGGTGGAAAATGAGGCTGGAGGGGAGCTAGGGGCCCTGAATCCTGGGCTGGGAGCCTGCAGGGTGTATGAGGAGAGAGGCTGAGAGGGTGGGTCCCACTTGCTTACCATGGGCCAGGGACGTGCCACACTGCCCATCAATTCTTCCTAAGGTGGGCTCTCCTCACCAAAAAAGGCTACCAGGAGCGAGACCTGGACCCCCAGATTTCCGTCATCACCAAACTCAAAGGGGTTTCTGTGACCCAGATCGAGGAGCTGGGTAACCGACTGTGGGATGTGGCAGACTTCGTGAAGCCACCACAGGTAGGTGCCGTGGTCCTGCTGCTAGGCAGTGACACCTCTGATACCACCCTTGCAGAGAACGTGTGTGAGAGAGGCATGTGATGCCAGAGCAGGGTGCTGGCACCGTCATAGGGCCGGGCTTGGGAAGAGCCTTACAGAGGAGTGGTGCCTGGATAGGGCTTTCTGGGATGTGTAAGGAGTGTCTAGGAGGACAAGGGGACAGACCAGGAAGCCAGGCCAGAGGAACAGCCTTTACAGAGGCTGGACTTAGAAGAGTGGAAAGTTTAGGAACTCAAGGCTTGAGCTTGAGGGTGGGGCAGGAGAAGCTTGGGGAACCAGGGCCTTGAGCTTCCTGAATGCTCCCCTCCCTGACCTGGGACACTCCTCCTCTGGCCCTCCCACGAGGCATTTCTGGCTCCTCCCTTTACCCAGATTGCCCACAGCCTCAGTTTCTACCTTTATCCTGCCAGTGCCCAAACTGTAACCCCAGTGACCACCTGCCTCTAGCACAGCTGCCTCCTGGGTACACACCCACCACGTCCATAGAAAAATCATCTCCCTCTCCCAGTGTGGCCTCTCTTCATCCAATGAGGGCCAAAGCCGGACCTGTCCCTCCCTCTGACCATCCCATCTCCTAGTAGTTTTCACTGCTGCGTGTGTCGTACCTGTATGAGGCCGTGACCTTCTAGTGGGTAGTGGGTCCCCGGATGCACTCTACCCAGCAGCCAGCCTGAGCTGTCCTATATGTTATCAATCAGAGCTTGACAACCCTTGTTTCCACCCTGGGGAGACTTCCTTTCCATAGTGGTGGCCACCAAGTCCCTCCAGATCCTGACCGCTGTCACACCTGCTGCCTCCTCTCTTTCCTGGGTGTGCATTACCCCAAACTTTCAGAACTCACACACACGGCGCTTGGATGCCAGCCACCCTGCCTGTCCTTAGCCACCGTTTGCCCAGGCAGAGTTCACCGCCTGCTCCACTGGCCCCTGACCATGTGTGCAACGAGGGGCCCGCCTCCCAACTAGCCTGGGCAGGCTCCTGGTCCAACTCAGCTCTGGATCTTCAGTGCCTGGAAGCAGGAGGCAATTGGAAAATTCTGGTTGAAGGAATGAATACAAACATGGAAGATACACTTGTCTCAAAGAGGCAGCTGTGGGCTTAGAAAAGGCCAGAAACCCAGCTGGCCTCTCTTCTCTATTTCAACTTGCCTCACTGGAGGCGCTCTCCTGGGGCAGAGTTGATGACTTGATGGGGCCAGGACCCCTTTCCCCACAAGCCAAGCTGCCAGCTTCTGGCCTCTCTCTTTTGGAGAGGGAAGCAGAGACTGACTCTGACACTTGCTTTCTAGGGAGAGAATGTGTTCTTCTTGGTGACCAATTTTCTTGTGACGCCAGAACAAGTTCAGGACAGATGTCCAGAGGTAAGGTTGCTCAGGAGCTTCCCAGCGGGTCCCTAGTTCCTCTGCCAGACTTGGGTCACCAGCCATGTCCTCCGCTCGCCTTCCCAGGTAACTGAGGGCTTAGTATATATATGCTACTCTATCCCAGGCACTGAGCGAAAACCTTTTAGTGAATCATTCCATTTAGTCTTCACAAATACCTTGCCTGGTAGGAATCACTAATGATCCAGGAGCACCTGGATGGCTCAGTCCGTTAAGCGTCCTACTTCGGCTCAGGTTATGATCTCACAGTTTGTGAGTTCGAGCCCCACGTCAGGCTCTGTGCTGACAGCTCAGACCCTGGAGCCTGCTTCAGATCCTGTGTCTCCCTCTCTGCCTCTCCCCCGTTCACACTCTGCGTGTGTATGTCTCTCTCTCTCTCTCTCTCTCTCTCTCTCTCTCAAAAATAAATAAACGTTTACAAAACATTTTTAAAAAGGAATTACTATGATCCCATTTAAGATGAGAATCTCAGTAAGGTAGAGTCACATGTTCAAGGCCGCCCAGTCTCTGGTCCTCCAAGCAGTCTTCTGGAGTCTTCCACTGTAGCCCCCTGTGAGATATCCAGGCCCCTTCCCTTCCTGGTCCCACCTCTGGGCACCTTCCAGTTTGTCAGAACTGGGTATAAGACTCCGGTGAGCTCCAATAGAGCCCTTCCTCTCTTGTATGCACAGACTCTATTAATGTGTCCCAAGTCAGCTTCCATTTTTGTGGGCAAGCACGAAAACACCAGCTTATGCTGACCTGAGGGTCACTTATGATCTCTGGGCATTAAAAAAAATTTTTTGTTAACGTTTTATTTATTTTTGAGAGAGAGAGAAAGACAGAGTGCGAGTGGGGGAGGGGCAGAGAGAGAAGGAGACACAGAATCTGAAGCAGGCTCCAGGCTCTGAGCTGTCAGCACAGAGCCCGATGCGGGGCTTGAACTCACGGACCGCGAGTTCATGACCTGAGCTCCACTCAGACACTTAACCGACTGAGCCACTCAGGTGTCCCAGGCAGTTTTTACAACTGTGGTCACACCAGAGTCGCTCATCCTATTCTTGTCTATTTCTCATCCAGAATTGCAGGTTTTCCACCTAAAATCTCCCCGTTGTCCCTTGCCTAAGGGCGACCCATGGATCCAGCGTCTGTCACAGTGCACAGTGCTCTTCTCTCCAGTTATGGGTTTTTTTTTTTTTCCCTCAAATTTTTGTGTGTGTGTGATAAAATACATGTAACATAAAATTTACCATCTTACCCATTAAAGAATTTTTTTTGTTTACTTTTGAGAGAGAGAGAGAGAGAGAGAGCAAGCAGGGGAGGGGCAGAGAGAGAGGGAAAGAGAGAGAGAGAGAATCCCAAACAGGCTCCATGCTGTCAGCTCAGAGCCCAACGTAGGGCTTGAATTCAAACCTCGAGACCATGACCTGAGCTGAAACCAAGAGTCGGACACTTAACTGACTGAGCCACCCAGGTGCCCCGCATCTTACCCGTTTTTAAGTGTATGGTTCTCCAACTGTGGATTTTATTTGAGCAGTTGGGACTCAGGACATAGCCTTGGAAGCCTACTTCCATGGTAACAGCTTTTTAAAATCACCTCTAACACGGGACACCTGGGTGGCTCAGTGGGTTAAGCATCGACGACTCTTGGTTTCGGCCCACTTCATGATCTCACAGTTTGTAAGTTTGAGTCCTGCATTGGGCTCCATGCTGACAGTGAGGAGCCTGCTTGTGATTCTCTCTCTCCCCCTCTCTCTGCCCCTCCGCTGATTGCTCGCTCTCTCAAAGTAAATAAACTTAAACAAACAATTTTTAAATCACATCTAACATTTAATTGCTTGCAGGGCTGGGGAGTAACTGTGTGGTCAACTGTCCCCTGTGTCCTGATTGTTGGTGCCACCACAGTTGCTGGAGGCATCACATGTCCTAGGTTGGCTCTGTCCACAAAGGATGTGAAGCATGTGCACAAAGGATGTGCTTACACACGGCAAACATACACGATGTCCTTCGTTTTCTAAATGCTCAGAGGACATCTGATTAATGTTCAGGCTGTAGGCTGTCCTGAAAATTTCCTGAAGCCATCATTCTGTGTTTTCTGGATCCATGTGATTTGCCTCATGTCCCAGCTTCTAGGTCTTCCTATGAAACTACTGAAGCTGGGAAGTAATCAGATCTGACAACACGGCTTCTGGAGACTCACCAGAGATCCCGCCAGCTCTTCTCGGCGGTCCTGGTCATCCGGCCCTTCCCGACGTATTGGCTGTGCTCCTTGGAGACTCACAGCCTTTAGCAAACAACTGCTGAGCCTCTTGGGGGCCAGGCCTGATGCTGGACTTGCAAGACTCCACCCCCTTTTATCTCAAGGAGCTCCTGCACAGGCAGCCCAGCCAAGGTGGCCGGTCCCGTGATGGGGGCAGAGGCTGCAGCTGCAGACCCAGGGAGACATGTCTGCCAGCTCAGGGCCTCAGGAAGGGTTTCCCACAGAACTCAAGGCTCAAGTGGGATCTTGAGACGGTCCAGGCAGAGGGAGCTGTATGAGCAAAGGCCCCAAGCTATGTGAGATGAGGCACCTCCAGGGTCACCTGCTGCTGAGTGGGGTTGGAGCCTAGGTTTGGATTCAGGTGGCAAGGGGGTAGCCCAAGACCTCAGGGGCCCTGTGAACTCTGTGAAAGAGCTAAACTTGATCACAGGAGCATGGCAGAACTAGGGATGGTCTCTGCTGAATGAATGAGGCAGATGATGCAGAGAGCGGCCCCGTGGTGGTTATCATGAGGTTCGATTGGAGGAGACGGTGGCCCAGCCAGGGTGGAGGGGAGGGGCGGGCTCAGGACACAGGAGGCCCCACTCTGTCCTCTGCCCACGTATCACGGTCCCAACCCCACCCAGTCCCACTGTCTCGTTTGGCTTGGAGTCCCCAAGTCCTTCTTGCCACCCTGGCACACCGCTCCTCCTTCTGCTCCTGAGCCAGGTAACCTGGACAATGGTGCTCACTGTCAGCCTGGGGCAGAGCTGTGTCTGAGAGCGTGCCTTCCTCTTTGGGGGGTGTAGGACCCCCAGAAAGTTTGCTAGTCCCCCCTTCTGACTGATCGCCAGAACGCTTTGCCCAAGAATAAGTAGGGGAGGGACTAGCCTGTGGTCCCTCAGCAAGTGTGTGTGGTCCTGCCACTTCCCTACCCAGCCCCCTCCAACTAGGTCCCTGCCCTTTGTTCACCGTGCCCCACCCCTCCACTCTGGCATGAACTAGCCCTTCCCAGAGTCCCTTCACCTTCCCTGTTCTGTTGTCTGAGGTGGACCAGAGGATCTGGGCCTCCGGCCAGGAGAGAGCTATCAGGAAGGAAGGAGGCTTGCTCTGCCTTGGAATACAGCACCTGCACCCCTATCTGGCGGGCGGTGGGGGGTGGCGGTGCTTGCCACCTTCCTCCTCCAACCACCTCCTTTTATTTTTACCCTCCAGCTTTGCCATGTGCCCCCAAACTCAGGGACCTCTATGCAGCTAAGGCAGGGAGGGCTGTGTCCCTGCAGACTGCAAGACTGGGTCACAGAGGGGAAACAGTCCCCGAGCCCTTGGCAACTTTGCTTTCCCCACCTCAGCACCCTTCCATCCCGCTGGCTAACTGCTGGGCTGATGAGGACTGTCCGGAAGGGGAGACGGGGACACACAGCCACGGTTGGTAACTGTGGGCCCTGTCTTCCATGGGCTCCCCTGGGTGGGGGCTCCAGGGCCCGGGCTGGGACCCTGGGTGGTTCTTGAGGGCAGGCCTGGTGGTGCCTCTGCATCTCTCCTCTCTGTCAGTGGCCCCCTGCCCTGTCTCATCCCCTGGCCCCGTGGAGATTTGAGGGCCTGGTGTTTGTTTTGTATTCTCAAGGCATAAAAACCGGCCAATGTGTGGAATTCAACGGGACCCACAGGACCTGTGAGATCCAGGGCTGGTGCCCCGTGGAGAGCGGCACTGTGCCCATGTAAGTCTCTCCACCCACCCCCACCCACCTCCAGGACAAGGCCCCAGAACCCAGGAGTCTGCCCTTCACTTCTTTACCAGCAGGAAGCCCCTACTGGTCCAGGCAGAGAACTTCACCTTGTTCATCAAGAACACTGTCACCTTCAGCAAGTTCAACTTCTCCAAGTAAGTGTGGGTGTGTCCTGCTGGCCCCAGACCCTCCTTGTGTCCTGTCTTACCTGACCGTCTGTCCCATCCCCCACCCCCACCCCCAGGTCCAATGCCTTAGACACCTGGGACGCCACTTATTTCAAGCGCTGTCGCTACGACTCACGCTACAGCCCTTACTGCCCTGTGTTCCGCATTGGGGATCTCGTGGCTGCAGCTGGAGGGGTCTTTGAGGACCTGGCATTGCTGGTGGGTCCATGGGGGGAAGAGTTCCAGGAAGGCTCAGGGAGAGGGTCCCGGGGCCTGCGTGCTGGTGAAGCAGCGAGCAATGTGCTGTGTGCAGGGAGGTGCTGTGGGCGTCCGAGTCCACTGGGATTGTGACCTGGATGCTGGGGGCTCCGACTGTCGGCCCCACTACTCCTTCCAGCTGCAGGAGAGGAGCTACAACTTCAGGTGCGGCCCCTACTGCCCTCCTGCTGTTCCTTAGCCAGGTCCCCCCACTGTCCTGTGGCAACCAGGACTGGCCACAGCTCTCTGGAGATTCCATTGTGTGTGTGAGGAGGGCCCCAGGGGCAGGAGGGGTGTCCTAAGCTCTGGTCCCCCAGCACAGGCTCTGTCCAGCCTCCCTCCTGATCCCATCCCCCTTCTGTTCCCTGGGACTCCTCAACCCCCCAGCCCCTCTCCCACCCCACCCTGCCTCTAGCACCTCCCTCCTCGGCTGGGGGGGGGGGGGTTCTTTTTTACTTTTCCCTTAGGTCTTATCTCAAAAATGTCAAAAACCTACATAAAAATGCAAAGCCATATACCCTCTATCTGGGTTCACTAGGGTTTTTTTGGTTTTGGTTTTATTTTTTATCATTTTGCCACATTTGCTTTCTCTCTCCCTCTCTAGAACGAGCTGGATATAGTTAGATAGATTTCAAAGGGAAGCATTTTAGAGTAAGTGGCAGACATCTGACACTCTTCCTCTCAACACTGTCCTGAGAATGAGGACCTTACCCACGTGACCACGGTACCACAGTCACACTCAATACATTTAACATTGGCAGAGTAAATCGAATATTTACTCTGAATTTCTCCAACCATGCCAATAATAGTCCTTTATCTTTTTTATTTTCTGATCCAGGATGCTTTCAGGGATCTTGTGTTGCATTTATTGTCATGTCTTTGAGTCTCCTAAACAGATCTCCCTCAACCTGCCGGGAATCCTTGTCACTTCCTGTCACCTGGTCATTGTCACACATACGCGCACACAGCCCCCAGGCCTAGAGACCATGTCCCTTGACATTGCTCACTGGGCTTTTCCTGGCCTGGCTTCCTTGACCTCCCCGGCCCTTTGCAATGATGAGGGGCTGGCTCCCTACCCACATTCTGCTTCCTGCACCTCTGTGCTCTTACCTGTCCTATTTTCTCTGTCTAGAACACTCCTTCCTGACCCCTGGAAGACCAGCCTCAAAGTATCCCTTGTAGAAAGCCTTTCCCACCCAGTTTCTAGGGGTAGTGAGTTCCCCCTCGCCCTTTGGACTCACACAGCCC